TCTTTTCCTTTCCCTCTTCCCTCTCTTCTTCTCCCTCCCCCTTTTATTCCCTTTTCTATCTGATTCTCCCTTCTGTGATCCTCCCTTCTGCTTCTTCCTGATATTATGATTACTTTTCAAATTACTCTTTTTTTTTGGTTGTTGCTTCAGTACTTAAGTTTTTAACTCCCTTTTTTACCCCGCTTAAAATTGCTTGGTCATTGAAGATGGCTTCTTCATTGTCCTGCCCTTCTTTTTCTGCCAGCATTTCTTGTTGTTTTTCATAGTTCAAGATCTCAATTTCTAAAAATTGAAATATGAAGCCAAAAGATCGTCTTCCCTCTTGTGCTTCTTCTTTTTGTTCTCTAAGTCTCATTTTTAACTCTTCAAGGAGTGATGCCATTTTAAAAAAATTTAAACAACCCCCAATTGATTTTATTTTATTTCATTAGGGTCCTCCATCCAAAGTTCCAGGAATCATCCAATAATCCAAAACTATTTCTTGCTTCTTTTCTCACTTTCTCTTTCCAGGGGCTTTGTTCTCTTCTAACAAAGTTTCAGCTACAATGTATCTTTTGCAAACCTTGTTAAAATTTCACTATTAAACTTTCTATTTTTTTTAAGTTCCAGGTGGTCTCCTCCATTTTCCAGATTCCACCCTCTTTTTTCCTTTTTCTCTCCGCTGCTTTCTTTCTTTCGTTTTTTAAAGAAAGTTTTAAAATTATCCAAGAATCTTTATCCCTTTGACAGTTTATTTGAAGCTAGAAATAGCCTATTAATGTCAAAGTGGATTAGTATCAATTTCTTATTCGAATCTCTTCTTCTTAATGTTCCAAGTCAGTTAAAACTGTTGATGTTAGAGGAAAAAAAGCCAATTCTGTTTCCTTTCTCTGTCTCTTTCGCAGCTTAAAATCTTTTTTAGGAGTAGTATTAGTCTTTAAAATTCAGGTTCCAGGTACCTTAAATAGACGTTCTCTATTCAACCCGGTCAGTCAAACTTTCTTCTTTAAACTTCCTCCTGCACAATCTTGTCCGGTTGGGTTCTTCTTTGAGGTGGCCATTTCTGACCACTGCTGCAGCCGCCTTTGGGAAAGGGAGTAATGGCCAGCCGAGGAGGAGATATGTGGCTCTCCT